ATGGCACAGAGTGGGCTACTGGTGTTATGCCTTGCCAGGTTGGCAATGCCACTGTCAGCCCTGTGGAGCACTTTCTGTCTGTCCATGTGATCATCCCGACCCCAGCTGTGGTCCCACCGTGTCCGGCATAAAGGCTGTGGGACTCGCCATGTGCTACCCTGGGCAACATGCAAATGAGCAGATGTAAGAATGGTACCCCAAAACTCTCCCTCTGCCTCAGTCTCATCCATACAGCAGTTTCCCTCCAGAATTCACATCAATGTCCTTTAAGATTCCTGCTCCTGCACTCCCGCACCCCTCCACATCCCCAAAAAGGTCTCTGTGGGGTTTATTTGTGCTTCCCACTGAGCATTTGATATGATGTAGGCAAGCTCATCTCCCAGGTCCTGCATGTGCCATTTGGAGCTTTTCCCTTTCCTCAAGCCCCACTCAGAACATGCCATGAGGTTAACCCAGTGGTTTCTTTCGAGTGACACAGATCAGAGGCCGAGGCTGCCCCAGACTGACTCATTACACCCCAGGGCAGCAATTTCTCACCAATAGAAACATACATAGAGAGATTCTCCAAATCTCCACAGGAATGGACTTGACAAAACCACATAATTTTATGAGGAACCTTCCCCAGAGAATGGTTTCCTCCATTCCATGTCTTGGGCAGAAGGAGAGCAGCTCATATAAGTTCTACAAATTGAATGTTCCCCTTTTTCAGTGACTCTATAGCTTTTAGTGCAAAGGAAAGAACCTAGACATACAAGATTCTTGTGCTATGGATTTATAATAACATTTTATTAATATATTATGCTACAAAAATATTTTGACAAAATAATATTAGAAAGCATCTTTTTATTACACTCTTCAAAACAGTTCACAAAAGCAGGAGGCGGAACAGGAAAAAATATTTGAAATACATTTGAATTGAAAACTGACAAACATGCAAGTTAAAATTCAGTGTGAGCATGAATCTACAGGATGGTTAATCATTCCTGTAGAAGTATTGACTACTTAGTGGAAAGACCTCTCTGCCTTTAGCTAGATTAAGGTGCCTCCTGAAAAGTTAGTCACAGGGAAGGTTGCATTTGGGTTGGGACAAAACACACGCAAACAATACATGTGTGCACACATACATGCACACATGTGCGTGTACACAAACACACACACACACACACACACACACACACACACACACACACACTCCATGATCTCAAAATTAGGCAATCATCTTTCTGCTTCAGTTAGGCTGAAACAAGCTTAAATCAAACTCCAGCAGACTCCATGGAACATCGATCACTTCAGCGATATGACAAGCCCACATGCTTGTTGGATATAATATAGAAATATCTTACAGTACTAAGCAAAGTTTGGAATGATAACATTTATGCTGAGATAGTAACTTTGGCACTTTGGTTTCTCTAACATAAATAAATGAAGGGAAATTCCTCCCTTACAGTGGTATATGGTAATGACTGGGTCATATCATTCAACTAATCAATGCACTAAACATAGATTAAGTTCTCCCTCTTTCCATCTCCTTTGTCCACAATTGTATATTGAAGAACTTAGATAAATATACAATGCTGTACCTTGAGTGTTCCTAAATTACAGTGGAGCTTGGAGGAATGGGAAGGGAAGTTCAACAAAGCAGATTTTGACACCTGTATAAAGCATAGTTATCATAAATCATGTTCATCATTTATTGTCAAAAGAGGTATTGCATTATTCAACAGCTCAAGGGATTGCAGAGAAAGTACATCAGTCATAAAATATAAAATACCTTCTGTCCCAGCCTGCTAACTGGTTCTCCAAGTGGCAATGCATGTTAATATAGCAGCCGTAGTTAAACATAGGCAAGAAAAGCATTAAAACAATAAAAGAGTGGGCGTTAGATCTGTTGCTGGTGGTATGGGATATTTATTCCACCAGGGCAAGAGCTTGGCAGATAATTAGCATTCATTTATAATGTTACAGTTACATATAATGTGAATTGCACTGGTGTCAGTCGTAGCCGTGTTGAAAAGATGAATCATGTGAACATTCAGCTTTGGACTCATCCAAAATTATGTCCTTGATTGCTAGACATCGCGAGTCTCTTGATTGTGTTTCTTAGAGGTAAACAGTATCATCAACGGTGTTGGCTGTTATATATAGCAGGCATGAATATTTTTTTTTTTTTAAATTTCCTGCTCCTGGAATCTTGTGATTACATGGGAATCTGAGCTTTCCTTTGGAAGAAATAAAACAGTCGGTTCCAAGGTTTCTGAGAAACCCACAGCGCAAGCTGAAGTCCCATGAAGCTGGTAGTCAGAGTTACTTTAAGAGCGTGTATCAAATCTGACACACACACTCTTGAAACTCATGGCGAATACAATAATGATCCATCGCAATGGATGTGCATAGATCTGAGCTAACCAGTAGTTGTGTATTTTGATTAATACTGGGCTGCTGTAGCTGATTAATAAATAATCCATTTTATCAATCACAGTGAGGGTCTCATTTTCTAGTATTGCTATGCTTACATGCCATGTATTGAAAAAAGTCACCCTAAGTCATACCTTAGGATAAGACAACAGAATGAAATAAATGTTTGGTTAGAGAACTGTGCTGAAGCCATTCATATGGGGTTCCTGAGCTAGGATCTAATGGAAGCTACTTAATCTTCTATTTATTGTAAGTCGTGTCTTCTCCTCTAACCAGGGAAAGCTCAAATGACTGAGCAAGCTAGATGCTTTTAGCTGGCAGAAGTCAAGTGTGTGGACCCCAAAGCCAGGAGACACTTCGCTTTGACACCTGCACTGCAGTATGACAAATATGGGGCACCACAGCAAGGGAAAAATCTGGTGAGTTCCAGTAACACTCATTCATTTTATGGGAATAATGAACAAAATGCCAGAAAATGTAAATATGTCAAAACATTTTTGATAGCCAAGCCATTTACATACTGTGATATCTGAGCTAATGAGTTTTGAACAATACTGTCCAGTGGAGGAGTGACTTGGAAAAAAAAACTCAGCAGTGACAAACGGAGTGACTAGTCTGTGCACTATAATGACAGTTGTGAATGTGGCAATATCCGTGTGCTCCTAATATTAAAAAAAAACCCAAAACAACAAAAAAACAACCCAGAGACTTATGGAGAAAGCCACAGGTTGGGAAACTGTCGAACTGTAATTTCTAGTCTTGCTCCTATTGGTGGTTTCATTACAGTCTTGGACAAGTTGTTTCTGTTTTCTGCTCATTTCTCTCTCCCTTATCTTTATGTGGTCTTGTCTGTTTATACTGTAAGTTTTCCAACACCTGGAATTATTTCTCGGATGGTACCACAAAATCATTTCTGGATTCAATCCAATTACAACAAATAAAATTCAATGGGTTTTTGGTTCATTGGCTGTTCACTTTTACTATGTGACTTATCATCACCGTTAAGATTTGCCTACCTTATTTCCAGTTCCATTTTTGTGAATAATACATTATAATTCAGTTCTAATCTCTGTCTTGAAAACAGCAGAAGAACCAATCACCTTTTTATACACATTAAAGTTGAGTCTGAAGGTCTGTTAAGCCATTATATTCAAATGAAGGCATTTCTAGGGTAATAGCTCAAATAAAACTAAAATAAAAGTTCTCAAAATACGTTTCCAATATCCAGCTCCATGCAATAAATATTATGCAAGGTGAATGGCTTCTATCCAAAACTAACATCTCTAATCTTCTGCTAGCCAAAATACACAATATAAAAGTATGCACAGGGTGTGCTCAAAGCTCACATTTGGGGCAAAGCTCAAAGTTTTCCATTCAGCCTTATCAACTGTTGTGCTTGGAAAAAATAGGGGTAGTTTATAGCCCTGTCTGCTGTACTCACTTAAACTGACCACAGATCTACACAACTTTCTGTCAAAAACAGAATAAAGGCTGGAGGTCATGGTGTGCAGAAAGTCAGAAAAAAGGTATCTGTACTCCCTGGCCTTTGCAAAGCAATGGGTTGGGATGCATGATGGAAAAGCTCAGTATTTCATCATGGCTTCAAATAAAACTATGTGCCTTTTGTAGTCTAATTATTTCCTAACCTACTTTCCTGAATTAACTGGTACAATAACAAACCATGAATCTTAAAACGTCTCTTGCTGCAGAGACTTTAAGATTGCATGGAATCATCTCTCCAGTCCTGGAGACCATGCTGTAGGGCTAGTGAGAAAGTGATATGATTGTTTTCAGTCAGACCTTTAACAGTATTATCATCATCATCATTATCACTTGATATTTTTACCAAAGTGAAAAAGCACTGCTTTTCCTAAAGAAAAGTCTGCATTGTATTTTTCTGATTTTTGAGTCTTCTTTTTATCTAAGATGTTTTCATTACATATTTTGGATTTTTGGTTTGTAGATGACTTGGAAAGAAAAACACTATTTCAACCAAAATTAATTTTCTGGTTGAAACTACTGCATCCAAAGGGATTTTTCATCATGTTTTGTTTTTTTGGGGGGTGGGTGGGGAATCAACATGCTTTATTAAATATAATAATTTTTAAGATGAATGTGGGGGGGTTCTTCCCATAGATGTCCAACACATTCATGAAAAGTAGCTATTTGGAGAGGGAGCAAATGTTTCAATGAGTGTAAGGTGTCAGAACTTTTCCATCTAAGTCAACAGAAGTACCATAGTTTATGAACAAAGGAATGTTCTGTACATCTCCATGACATGGGGGTTAATTTGGTTCCTGTCTTGAACAGGTTTTGGACAAGTCATAATTCAAGCGTGGAGATACCAGCTCCAAGCATCATAACAGCAAGATGAAGAGGAATTTGTAGATGTTTTTTTTGACCTCCAGGTTGTCCATCAGCATTAATACAACTGGTACAAAGAAGTTCTATAGACAGCAGGATACTACATCTTTATGTCCTATAGAGAGACCATGTTCCGTTCTCAATTAACACTGGGAAAGATTGTAGGCTTGGTTTATGTAAAATGAGAGAGAGAAGAAAATATTTCCAGTGGGATTAATCCAGACTTTAAAAGCAATTTTTTATTAAGAAAAAGGTGTCTTAATTTGTGTTAGCTAATGAATTAATCCCAGGGCAAAGAGGGACACTGGTAATTTCCAAAGAAGTTAAGTAGTTGAGTTAAAGACAACAGGGAAACTTAGAGTGTTGTCTTGACTCATGACTTACTAAGTCATATAAAAATAACCAGGATTTTAGGTTGTAGCAGCTAACTTGAGTTAAGAATGCACCTATTTTTCTAATGGGCATAGGCCACAGAAAGCAGGATCTGCTTTATTCAGTGTAAGCTATGCTAATGAGATTAAAAAAAGGAAAATAAAGAAGTTCAGCAGATATGTACTTATTGAACAGTTTCTGTAAAAAGTAAGGGTTAAAGAAATAAAGAAGTCATTCATTTGGTGTCAGTTCAGACATTTGCAGAGTTGTCAGTTAGAAAACAAATATAGAAAATATTAATTTATCTGTTTCACCATCACTACTGATTAATAGGGATGTTATTAACATATACAACAAGAAAAAAATAAGTTTACCAGTCGAATAAATACATTTTTTCTTTTTCTTTTTTTCTTTATATGAACATGTATATTTTACAAAACCCCATAGCACTATGGGAAATAAAGATCCTTCTACAAAAAGAAGATGTAAGTCAGTGTTACAATAAAGCTTTAGATTTTCAAAATGTATCTGGGCAAAGAGACAAAATCAGCTAGAAGGCACTACTGATTCACTGAGAACGTCCAGTTTGTAACCGTTGTTGCTATAACCTCCAAGTCGTTCATAAATTATCTCTCTTCTCTATTCCAAGGGATTGCACGTAATACTAATGTGGTCAGGAAGGCTGCAGTAGATTCAGGAGAAAAGAAGCTATGGCCACGCAGAGAGGAGGAGTTACTGATGGCCATAAAATGCTGGCTGAAGCCGAGCTCGTAGGCTGAGGCTGGGATGGGCGATCTGGACGTGGTCTCTGATCCAGCCGGTTTGAAATCCAAATGGGAGGTTTGACTGTGATGTAGCCATTGGTTATCCTGATATAAGAAGGCAACGTGGTGGTGCTAAAAGAAAACACAAGAGAAGGAAATTAAACAGAAACGCCCTTATCTCTACTCTGTGAGCTGTCACCCTATGTGGTAGTAACAACAGCAATGACAATAACTATTATTATTATTAATTATTATTAATTATTATGCACTAGAGATGCAGGGAGATCCCCTGGGGCTGATAAGTATGATGGTCTGGAAACAGCTGATTCAGGATGACCCTCAGCTTCTGGCTGCTGGTAGAATATAACCAAAGGAAGGATCACTCTAGATAGATCTAGGTAATTGCATTCATTTTTTAAGCATACACCGTTGGCCAGCAGGAGAGACGGTGAGAGCTGTATCTTTGTGCTGACCCAGGATGACACAATTCTCATCTTCTTAGGCACCTTCTTGCCACCAAGGGTCTCAAAATTTGTTATGCCTCAGAGACATGTCTTGCCCAAGTGGACTTGATACTAAGCCCAGGAGGCGCCACAAAACATGTCCTTCCCTTGTTTCACAAGCCATGAAGAATTTCCAAGGATCGCCTTCCACATCTTATAACCTTGAGCACAGGAGACCAAGCAGCTCATTTATTTTTCCTGGCTTTAAGACATTTTGGATCAAATCACAATACCAAAACCAGACTCAGTGTAAAGTTTCCCTGTCTGTGGATTTGCCTCAATAGCGGTATGATTGCATATTGATTGTGGCTTGAGTTAGTTCTTTGATTTGAATGGGCAGGTTGGAATTCATCATGATTCCCATGACACTGAAGGTCAAAAAGGTCCATTAACAATTGATTTGGAAGTTTCAAATGGTAATCTCCATTTCATAAAATGCTTCCATTGCATGCATTATTGAATGACCCATAATCCACCAGTTGTCACAAAGCAGCACAATTGAGCATGCCGACTATGCAAGGTGGATTCTGGACTTAAAAACACTGCATTCTGCAGTGCAGTAAGGAGAAAAAAGACAAGTTCCCCTGAAAACAAGATGTGACACTAATAGCTGCAGATTCTCTGTATTACTTTTAAGTCTTCTGTAAAGGGGATTTGGAGACACTGAAAATGCCAGTCAAATAATTTTTTTTACACAGTAAGAAGCTATGCAGTCCTATAAATATTTAGCTATAGTTTCTGAGATCTTGACCTTGGAAGAAAAAGGCTGTCTTGCATAATACCAGATAAAAGGAACAATACCTTGCTCCAGATTCATGCACAGAAATAGAATTTAGTAGCACTGAAGGCTTTTGTCTTTTTCTAAGCAATAACAAGATAGCTTTTAGCTCAGGTGCTTCAATGTGTTGAGTCAATCACAAACTGTGAGAAGATCAGAGTCCACCCAGAAGAGAGCACTGGTTAACACATGGATGGATCAACATCAAATCCAACAGACAATCACTGCACGCTACACTTCACCCGGGTTTTGGGATAATTAACTTCATTTCTTCCCTTATCCTTTAGACTGTCACCACACCTTCTGAGTGGGATAGTTGTTCTGTAGCTAGAAGTGACCTTATCTAATGTGCAATGAATTAGAGTAAAAAGAAAAGGCAGTCTAGAATTAAAGACATGGGAATTGCTTCATGAGAGCAGATAACCATCTAACCAGTATTAGATCTTTGACAGTGGGAAGCTGTGCTCATTCCAGAGAAACAAACTGCTGTAAATAGAAAATTCTCAAATCAAGCCTTGCTGGAGAAAGCTCTTACCTAAATTTCCATGGTGAGTGGTTGGTTTATATCTTGGACCGATGATACAAGACACATAACTTTAGAGCTTCTGCTCTGTTGCATCAAAATCACTGCAGTCACTTAATACAAGGAGTTGATCTGGGATAAGCTAATGCCGCTGTTTCAAATTTGTCCAGCTTTTTTGAGCAGTTAATTTAGTGCTGGCAAGAATGAGATCAGATTAGGCACTGTCTATCCAAGCTCCTGTAATATATGTAACATCAAGTATGAATGGCCTTCCCACAATGAATACAAAACATCATTAAAGCATACTTCTGACAAAACTAGGCACTAGTTACGCTCTGAGTAATTCAACAGAAATGCAGTCATGCTCCAGATCTCATTTATCCTGTTGAATGATGCTGTGGTGCATAGACCTGGCAACACTGACACTGGGATCACAATTTGGGGGTTTTTCCCCTGTACCAGTTTTTCCTAAGGTAAGTACAGGTAGGTGGTTGTACTCATCTTTTGGTTACTGTTTGTCACTTTACAGAACTACACAATTTAGCCCTGAGTTAAATTTTAAATTGCAAGGAGGGTCTGGTTTTCGATTTCAATTTTAAAAACATTGCCAAAATGCCATTCAGACTTGCAGTTTGGGCATATCCTGCTCCTGACACATTCTATGGCCTTGATCCCCCAGTGAGATTAAAATGTCCCTTGCACAAACTGTCTTTCTGCACCTCAGGGGTGCATTGTGTGAGATGTCCCATGGGGTACACAGGCTGGCCAGGGAACCCATAAAAGAATCGCGAGACCATTCATCAGCCAACTACATCGAAGAGATTCCTAAAGGAGCTTTAAATCAACTCTTTACATTTCTGTATCTTTACATTTCTATTTGCTAGTCAACTGCCAGAAGTGGGTTTTTTGGGTTTTCTTTTTTGTTGACTTTGCTTTTCTCCCTTGAAAACAGGTAATTTTGGGGAAAAAAAAAATAAAAAATCCTGTACTTTACTTAAAATCCCAGGGTTTCCTGTCAAAAGACCTGAGAATTTTTGACCACTCTTCTCAGTCAGCAAGGTCATTTTCTGTTTCCAATACATTAGATTTCTATAAAGGCTTCCTTGTTAAGATAAATACTGTTAGGTGGGGTTGTTTGTTTTTAAAACCCCTAAGTGCTTTACAAGGGAAGAACAGAGCGTTTCCATTAACATGTACATAGCATGCTAATAGCAAATGAATCACAGTTTATCCATGTAAGACATTTTCTTAAACGCAACTTTACTTCTGGCGCGCTGACTGACTGCCAGGGTGGTTTAGAGATACTTAAAAAGAACGATCGCTTGTACCAAATGCTACAAAACTCCTTGTAAAATCTCCAAATTTGTAATTATGCTGTTTCTGCAGTGAATGGGGAGAGAAACCTCTCCAGGAGGTGATCCACCTCATTCCAGTGCAGGTCTCTAGGGGGTACTTTACTCTTGCTTGGGGTCTTTCTCTTCCCAGGGATTACAGAGGGGCCCTAGACAGTCAGGTTATATTATAACCTAATCTTAGAGGTAGCTCTGGTGTCAGGAGATGACTTCTCCAAATTCCCTCTGAGCATATTTGCATAGGCACACAGGATCTCACTGACCCCTAGACCTTCCCTAAGGATGAAAGCAGCAGCAGAGTCCCCTGAACTCAACTGGAAACTTTCCATTGTCCTCAGGGAGGTTTTGATCATTCCTGAAATGTACATAGAGAATAATAAAAATGAATCACCGATCTAGGAATAATCATCTAAATTATTATCACGCCTTCTCTTGCCAGCCCAGGATATTCTGTACTTGAGGTTTTTTTTGTGGCTGATAAGAAAGTCTTTAATAAAACATTCCACATCATCTGTGGGGAACAGGCAACCACTGGCTCCACTGTTCATAACTCTCTTTTTTGCTTCTGTGTATGGGATTGTTTTTAAAATTTGGAAGACTCCAGGTACCTTTTAGCCAAATGACCTGCGGTATCATATTCATGAGCTTGTACTTTTGATCAGATAATAGGGCAGTTTTTCAAATCAGTGCATTAGTCATACATTGTCTTACCATCATTAAGAATGTGTAAAACTTTCCCAAAAAATGGGGCCCCAGGCACAGGCTTTGTGAACAGACCCTACTGAATCCAATTACACAATTGAAGTCCTCTGTGCTGGGGGCATGCTGAAGCACCTTGATGATTTGGGAGCATTTTAAAACTGAAAAATAAAACAAACACACATGCAACCCTTTGGGGGAATTTCTGTTCTGGTTTAGCTTGTGAGGACTTTGCAAGGAGCTCACAAGCTAATTCTTAGAGTGACTTGGTTTATCCATATAAACAGAGCTCATCTGACCACATGTGACACCACAGCAGAATGACAGAAGATAGGACCAGGAGGGACTTTCTGGCACATCTGTCCCAAAGACAGGAATAAGATCTAAACCCTTCCTGACATTTATGTCTAATCCATGATCAAAAAAACCCTACAATGACAGCAATTCCAGAGTCTCTGCAGACTTCTCTTCCAGCATTTCACCATTCCTGACGTCCAGAATTACTGCCTAATGTTTCACCAAATCTTCCTTACTACAATGCAAGTTCGTGACTTCTCCTGTCCCCGTGGGCAGGTTTATTTCTTTCCTCTTGTCAGCAGCCTTTCATGTGTTTTGAAGACTTAACCATGTTTCACCTCAGCCATCTGCCTTTTAAACAAACAATTCCCTCTGCCTCTCTCCACAAGTCCTCAGGTGCTCTCCTTCCATTCTTTCTTCTACTCTCCCCTGGCTCTGCCTAGTTGATCTGTGTCTTCTGTAGAGTGAAATGCCCAAAACTGGAAGCAGTAGGTCTAGCTGAGATATTGCCAATCCTATGCTTTGTGCAGTAGGTACCACTGCTTCTTTATTTGCAAAGCAAAAGAAAATACATGAAAAATATGCAATCTCTAGGAAGATGGTCTCTTCACTATTTTTTGCCCCCAAAGTCCAAACCACTTTTATGGTCTCAGTAACTGTTCTGAATCTGATGGAAAATTGACAGTTCTCTGAGGGGGTGAGGAGCGACCAAATTATGGTGGTATTTCTATGTGTTTTTAATCTGCTGCCATGCCGTGGTCCCAACATAGTTTCTGTTCAGGGTGGAGGAAATGACCCTTTTAAGCATAACTTACAAAGTGTTTGGGGATTTTTCTGGATCAAAGGAACTATATAAACACATGACAACTATTTTTAATAAATGTAAACAAATGTAGACTCAGACAGCCTTCTTACAATAGCATCTGATGAAAGAAGCTTATCGAGACAATGTGCCAGCATAGACTGAACCCTGAAAAAAT